CAGATGAAGCCATTTCATTGTATAAAATTAATTTAAGATAAAAATGATAAGTTAGAAGAGCTTGCACAGTGATTTCCATACAGGATGCTGCTTTTTCAATAAAATCAAAAGAATATGTAAATACTATGAAAAAGTTAGCATATGCCCCTACATTTTCAACATAGATGTTTTCAGACTGGCCAGATTAAGGTCTACAGCCTTATTCCAAGAAGCCTGTATCGCCAGTGGGAGAGGCTGCCACCGTGCCCGTGGCTTCAGGTACATAGTGCTGCTGAGAGGAGGCTGGCCTTCTGAGCAATGTGTGTTTTTGAGAGGTTTGATTGGCCAAAGGGTTTTAGAAAATGCTAGAAGATGGACAGAATATCTATGGTTTTCAGCGGAATTCTAAGGCAGCTCCTAAGATTCCCAACTCCCGGTATACATGCCTTGTAGAATCCGCTCTATTTGAATGTGAGCAGGACCTATGAACATGACGAGTTATCACTCCCTTGATTAGGTTACATTCTATGGCAAAAGGAGTTTTGTAGATATAACTAAGACCCCTAATCAGTAGACTTGGAGTTAATAAAAAAGGAGATTCTCCTGGGTGGGCGTGATCTAGTCAAGGTGAGCACTTAAAAGCCAGAGAGCTTTGAAGTGAGAGAGGTTATCCTCCTGGCCTTGAAGAAGAAACTGCCTTGCAGAGAGGGCCATGTGGCAAGGACCTCAAGTGGTCTATAAAACTCAAGGGTGGTCCCTGGTGATGGCCAGTAAGGAAACGGGACTTTAGTCCTACAACCACAAGGAACTAAATTCTGCTAGCAACCAGTGAACTTGGAAAAGGACCCCATCCCCAGAGAAGATCACAGTCCCGGCTGACTCCTTGATTTCAACCCATTGAGACCCTGAGTGGAAGACCCAGCTAGGCTGTGCTTGCATGCCTGACCCACGGAAACTGTGAAGATAACAGACGTGTGTTATTTTAAATTGCCGAGTTTGCGGTACTGTGTTACTCAGCAGTAGATAACTAATACACATGGGCGAATTAATAGTAGGGAGGAGAGTTGTTCAGAGGGAGCATAACTCTGGATGGCACTTCCAGAGTAAACTGGTTTCCCTGATGGTTGCTTTTCATGTGGCCACAGGGGAAAAAAAAAAAAGGTTACGGCATTGAGATTTCACACTGACCATCCCATACATAGACACAGATTATCTTTTTCTGTTGCAGTGCCTCCCAAACTTCAACATGCTTCCAAATTACCTGTAAGGTGTGTTAGACCTGATGGCTGAGCCCCACCACCACAGTTTCTGATCCAGCATGTCTGCAGTGGGGCCTGAAAATTTGCTTTTTTAACAAGTTCCAGGTGAGGCTCCTGCAGCCTCCTGGGACCCCACTTAGAGCACCGCTGCTCTATGCTAAGATGAAGACATTCTAGTTATTTTTAATACTTGATTTCTATAGCCAACCATTTCCCCATTTGATATGAAAACATTTCACCAATATTTTTTAAGCCCAGGTTAAGATAAAAAGAAGGAATGGAAATGTGATGATACCTTTGAGTAATCCAAAGCGCTTTTCATTCTCTGAGTAGTCATCTCAGAAACTCTATTTGGGTGGCATGGTGGAAGACAGGTAAAAATGATGGTGCTTCCTTTAAACACAGGTTAAAGGTCAATGCAGTGGCCCATGGGACCTCCATGTTTTCCCTATCTGCAATCACTGCCCACCTCCCAGGTGTTAGCAGTCCCTGCAGCATCATCCGTTCATGTGACGCCGCTCCAGACCCTTGGACCCAGGTGGCAGAAGCCGTACCAGTGCCCAGGAGCTGTGAAGGAGGGGAAGGCACTCTGCCTGTACCAGTTCTGACGAATCGCTTCATCGTGAACCCCTCTGACACTCGGTAAGCACATCCAACTGGGAGCAGAAATGAAGTCTTGACTGAGATCTGGGAATCCGCAGAGATTCCATCATACACAAATCCCAAAAGACATTTAAAACAGGAAACAAGGGTCCCATCTCTTGGCAACAGAAGGGAAATTCTATAGCAATCGTGTGTGTACCTCAGGGCAAATGGAGAGATGGGGGAAGCAGAGGGAAAACGCTCTTGATGTCATCATGAATACCAACTGGAGACTACTTTGGATCTCAGTTCTACAGGAGCAGAGAGTGAATGTTATTTTAGGATATCATTGAGGAATTATTGGGGAGAACTCAGCATCATCATGATATCTAAAATGATCCCAGTTGCTCATGCTGGTCATAAAGTTTGCTAATAATTTGGTTGGGGGGAGGGGGCGGGCGAGAGAGGGAGGTGGGGGAATCATAACTGAGAACATCTGTTAAAATTGAATATGAGAAGCCTGCCTTGTTTTTATTATTTTGCTCATGACACAATCCTGAAAGAGGGGAACTGAGTGTTTATGGGAGTAAATGGCTATTTATATGCAGAATGTAGGTGTGCTTCAACTTTGCATTCTAACATAAAAATGAGTGATCTTTTCCATTAAAACAGTGTGGGTCACCCCCGGCTGCCAGCTTTTATGCTTTTACTTATTTATTTATCTTCCCCAAGGAGGCACAGGCACTTTGCAGGCCTTTCCCAAGCTGCCGTAATTGATGGATAGTTGGATTTCTTTTAATTCAAGTAATGCCGAGTGTCTGCAGCTTTGGTAATCGGATCCTACCAGCGTTAGAGCCCACTGCCAAAATATTCAGAGCACAGAGGTTTGGCAACGTCATTTAATCATCGCGAAAGGATTACAGAGTGCAAAACAAGCCCCCAGACAGCTCGGAGATGGGCCAGTTCAGAAACTGATTCGGGCTGGGGAACTGCTCAGGCTTGCTCCCTCTCACATGGCCCGGCATCCCGGCTCTCCTTCACCCTGGCTGAGGCTTCGCCTAACCGCCTTCACCCTGGCTGAGGCTTCGCCTAACCGCCTTCACCCTGGCTGAGGCTCCATCCTCCGCGGCACACAGGAGATAAAAGGCGTCAAGGGGGACGGACCTCGGATCAGAGAAATAAACAGTGTCTGGACACATGTCAGGCTCAGGACTGGTCAATCCCAGACCAGGGTACCCAGATTATCCTGGTGTGGGAAGGTCAAGGCCACAGGCTACCCGCTGAGAGCCTCTGATGCAGAAGCCAGATGGTGAATTTAGAAGCCGTCCCTGGTCTCATTCAAGTGAGACACTGCCGCTATCTGTGATGCTTTATTTACCAACAGTAACACAGTTTGCGCCGAGAACAAGCGTGTGTTCACCATGCAATAGACGCTTTCATGCAGGAAGGAAGGGTGATTTGTGACTGGATGGGGATCTGGAATCTATAAATGACCACCCCAGCTTGAGAGGCCTCTTTCCACTCTGGGCCTAAGCCTGGAGGCTCCCAGGCTAAACCTTTGGTCTTCCTGCCCTAGACGGGGTGAGCTGGCAAGAAGGCCCCGGAGAGGCCCACACCATTCAGCTGCCAAATACGCTAAGTCCTTGGCACTCCCTTGCACGAGTTCCCGGACAAACAAAACCTCTAACACCAAACCCACCTCCACACAGCACAGGTTTCTATTAAACAACTTGAGTCACTTAAAAAAAAAAAAGTGCAAAGGCAGACTCCTGTGTAAATCTGATTTGCCATGCTAGGCCAAGCTTATTTTATTACTTACATTCTGCATTCTAAGAACTAGTAACTTCATATTGTAAACATTTTAAGCATACAGAGTTAAAGTTCAAGGCCACATTAGATCATTGATTGTCTCTTGTGTCGTGTATCTTTGGCTGGCCGAGATCAACTCGTAGTGTATAAATGCATAAGTTATATAATTATTATATAAAAAGGAAAAACAAAAAAACAAAAAAAACAAACCACTGACTTGCATACTTCATTCTGACAAACGCACAGCGTTCGCGACTCAAAAGCAAAACTGGAGGCTGCCTTGCCCCTGTCGACACCCAGGCGATTTCAGACTGGGGTAGCTGAGAAGGCTAGCGCTTACCTGACCCCCTGGAGAGCAGAGCCCCCCGGCTAAGGATGAGGTCCTGAATGTTTCTTTTTAAATATCAGACAATTCCAGTTACGGTTTTTCTTTTGATAAACAAACAAACAAAACAACACAAAAAAAGAGATGCATGATTTTGTTTCTGCGTTCTCCTGCTGTACGTGCCCTGCCCCCGTCACACTGTGTCCTTCCTCCTAACACTGGATTTGGTACAACACTGGCCGCACGAAGCCTCAAGCCTCCACGACGCAGTTCTCCGCAGAACCGACACCATCCCGAGTCCAGTCTGCATGGCTCGAGGAGCTCCCTTCCCAGTCCTTCCCTCCGCCTTCCCGTGTCTTCCTCTCCCGCCTCCTCCACCCACATCCACGTGCTCTCTCTCCACACACATGCTCAGTCCCACCCTGTGGCTCAGAGTTCCCGTCTTATCGTCAAGGAGTTGGAAGCCTCGGGTTGTTCTTCACATCCAATGGCAAGAAACTGATTTCACCCAAGACAGCAGATGCCGATGAGTTCCGTTAACAGTGTCTATCGATGGGCCACCAGAGCCTCCCTCTACTCTCTTTTCTGTGTTTGATGTGTTTCTCTTTTTAAATACAGGTAGTTCTCCTTCCAATGACGTTAGAAATGGCATGTTAGGTCCAGACTGTGTGGCATCTATTGCTTGAGTTTAATCCCTGCTTAATGCACTAGCAGGATTCCCAAGGACTAGTCTATTAAGGTTTATACATGTCTTCAGAATGTTTTCTTTGGCACTTTGTCCTTATGATGTCACGCTTCTACTTACAATGTCTTTTACAAGGTCGGTCCACAGATTACCTGTCTGCGTACACTGGTAGCATCCTCTTGATCTCTGTAGTCATGGTTTAGTAAGTCCCTCCCGCTCAGAGTCTCTGGATCTCTCCCCCTTGCCCCAGCCGAGCGTTCGCGTTTACCTTGAGGCACTTCTGATTCGTGGTCTCGGATAAGAGTTTGTAGCAATGGATGGGTGTCTACACAGGTGCTGGGAAAGGCCTCTCCCGGGGGCTTTAGTAGTAAGTGCCCAGATGCGAAGGCATATGGCTGGCTGGAAGCCTGGTGCTGGGGTAGATCCCCCCCGTGGGTGAATTCCAGTACGGGTTCGGGGCGGCGAAGAAACTGGACGACGTCACGGGGAGGGCCGGAGGGTGGGGGGCCACAAAGTTCATCTTCTGTGGGTGGGCGTGATAGGAACCCATGTAAGGGAGGTCCGAGGGGTACTTATACAGAGAGGACTCCGGGGGGTGGGGCTGGAGGGCCTGGGCGATCCCGTGGAAGTCGAACTTGTAGGCGTAGCGCTTCCCGTGGACTTTGGTCATGATGTTCTTGTCATAGTAGTAGCGGAGGGCCCGGCTGAGCTTGTCATAGTTCATGTTGGGCTTGCTCTTCCGCTCCCCCCAGCGCCGCGCCACCTCGTCTGGGTCGGTCATCTTGAACTCCCCGTTGGTGCCCTCCCAGGTGATACAGTTGGAATTCGAGCTGTCAGACAGAAGCTCCAGCAGGAACTGCCAAAGCTGGATCTGCCCGCTCCCTGAGGAGGTGGGGAAAGGAAACGGAACATCTGTGAGAACACCGGTGTGCAAAGCCATGTCCGACTCTCTGCAGCCCCGTGGACTGCAACCCGCCGGGGCCCCTCTGTCCGTGGGATTCTCCAGGCAAGAATACTGGAGTGGGGTTACCATCCCCTCCTCCTCCAGGGCGTCTTCCCAACCCAGAGTTCTGAACCTAGGTCTCCCATGTTGCAGGCAGATTCTTTAGACCATCTGAGCCACCAGGAAAGCCCAAGAATACTGCAGTGGGTAGCCTATCCCTTCCTCAGGGGTTCTTCCTGACCCAGGGATTGAAGCAGCATCCCTTGTGTCTGCTGCACCAGCAGGGGGATTCTTTACCACTAGTGCCACCTGGAAAGCCCCATGCAGAGTTCCTTTAGCAGGCTGTGCGCCCGTCCCTCTGGGCTGGGAGCATTGGCAGCTCTTGTCCCCCAGCACCAACCCCCTTTCTCCGGGGAACTGCCCTTGGCCAAACTGGAGCTGCCTCAACCCCCGCCTGCCCCCCAACCAAGTAGCCCATGACCTGATGGACTGACAAAGAAATCCAGAGGTCAGCTCCCTGCCCTCAAAGAGGGACCAATTCTGTGATGCTGGTCATGCCCGGGACTTAGCATGGATGGGGTCAGACTGAAGCAAGGTTCCCGCTAAGGTCACATGCATGCACACTCAGTGGCTCGGTCATGTCCGACTCTCTGTGACCCCATGGACTGCAGCCCGCCAGGTTCCTCTGTCCAGGGGATTCTCCAGGCGAGAATACTGGACTGGGTTGCCAGGCCCTCCTCCAGGGGATCTTCCCGACCCAGGGATCAAACCCACATCTCTCATGTCTCCTCCATTGGCAGGTGGGCTCTTCACCACTAGTACCACCTGGGAAGCCCAGCTAAGCCCACAAGCTTCCTTAATCTCTCCCCTGCCGTCTCCGGCATCCTCTCCCTCGAGAACATACCCTTCGTGAATCGCTTGTCCAAGTATGCTCAGCCCAAGCTGTGCATCTAAGGAACCTGGCCTAAGATGATGATCCCTGGTGACGACCAGACAGATCTAGAGGCTGATCCAAGTCCTTTCGGGAATGCAAAGAATTCCCACAGGGCAGAGTTCAAGTCGGTTTCCTTCATTTCTGACTTCCTTAGAAGAGCAGCCAGGTCAACTTTGTGTTTTGGGGGTGGGAAGACTTAATTTTCCTCTTTTGTGAGACAGAAAACGCCATTATGTGGCTGGCGATAATGACTTAGTACCATTTATGTTGGCTAGGTCAAGTTGAATAATAAAAGTCAGATTTAGGAAATGAACGTCGAAAAGTTTATGGAAAAAATAAGAATGGAAGTAAACACCGTTATTTCTAACATAACATGGGGCTGGCACGCAGAAAGCCATTCTGTCAAAACTTTTCCTAGAACAGAATTAACCCACTCAAAATGAGGAAGTTTAGAAAAAAAAGTTGGCTATGTCTCAAACCAGATCACCCATTTCCAGTATTTAGGCAAATGCATCATAACGGAAATCCATGTGCTGCCGCTGCATTGTAACGCCAGTTGGGTTAAGCAGAGTTTTCAGATGAAAACACTGCAACCATGAGTGACTGCAAGTCCTCTTGGGAGCGGAATGAGGCTCCAACTGAGTCAATGCGATCTCATTTGACTGGGTGTCGACACAGTTCTCTTGATCCCACTGGGGGTCTAGCGATGTGGCTTTTAGGTTTTATTAAATTCAGAGAAACATCCAGGCACATCATTCTAGCCTCTACGCTACAAAACTTTAGGATGATTGATGGCTCCCTTAAAGAGAGAGGCATGCAAATACCCACAGTCAGACTGTGACCAGGAGAAGCTAAGACGCTTTAAGCAGGTTTTGGAAGCTTTGAAAACAGGTAAGAGGCAGGTCTTTGCTCCCAAACTCCCAGATACCGCCTTGGGCTTGTTACCAAGGAGATGACCTTTTGTTACACTATGAGTAAACACCAATAGATATGATAAAATGATTAAAGGAACTCTGCCAATTCTTCAGGGAATTGATGAAATGTAAAAATCAATTATAAATTTGTTTTCCTCTAAATCCTGTCCACAAGCTCCCCATATAAACAGCCCAGCTCATAAATCTTTGTTTCCACATTGGCTGTATGCAGTGGACATGTTTGTGAATCTATCCATACGATAGCATCGTGAGAAAGGTCAGCCTTTTCTGAATACGTTCTGGAAAATTAGCATTTTTTCACTCTAGCAACACATTTGAAATGTATTAACAGCTTGTAGTTCATCGCAATGTAAAGTCCTCGCTTTTGGGGGGCCACATATTCGAACTGTTCTCAATCAATTTTTGCTGCCCCCAACATTTCATTAATATGCATTTTAAAAAATACAAAGAGCAGTTTGAGAAAACCATATGGTTTTAGTATACATATTGTAACTAAAGGGTTACTACTTGAAAAAAATTCCATATATGCCTTGGGAATAGGGAAAAACATGGATTTTTGATTTAAACAATCTAACATATGTTTCAATATAAGCACACAGAGTTGTTTGAAAATAGATATTCATTGTCAACCTCCTCCCACAGAGACAACAATCCCATAGATTTTGTATAAAATACACAGATTTTCCTAAACAGCCAAAATTATACTTGTCATCTCTTCAAACCTTGGCATTGTTTCTGGGCAATCTGTCCCTCACTTCTTTTATAAACGTGTGTAAGAGAAAAACAGCAGAGAAAAGTGTTTTCTCATCTCTCCTGTTTCTAACTAGTAAGTCGGGGACCTAAGTTCAGGATTAGAAACCGGAAGGTCAAGGGATGGATGAGGAATTTCTCCTTTGACTATTTTACCATCAGCCCTTAAGACACAGGGGCTTGGACTTCTGAGCCTTTCAAGGGTATATGGGAATAAGACATCTGTAAAACAAAATTCATCTGCTTCCTTACCAAAAAAAGCCATAAATGTACACTGATTAATGTTTAAGTTGTTGTTTAGTCACTAACTCATGTCCGGCTTTTTGTGACCTCATGGGCTGCAACCTTCCAGGCTCCTCTATCCAAGAGATTTCCCAGGCAAGAATACTGGAGTGGGTCACCATTTCCTTCTCCAGGGATCTTTGTGGACCAGGATCGAATCCCCGTCTCCTGAATTGGTAGATGAATTCTTTACCACTGAGCCAGCAGGAAGCCCCATTGTTTAAGCAGATGCTATCAAATGCAACATTATGTCAAGCTCATTAACTGTTCAGTGTGATATAACAACACCCACTGCCTTCACAGTCTATAGCAGATCTTCTTGTTCTGCTTGAATTCTCAAGGAGGCACAATATTTGCTGAGGAGTTACAGTTGGTGGTAAATTAATTGAGTTATTCATGGCTATAGAATTTCAAAAGCCATTTATTAAATCCTTCTTTTACTGTCAAAACAGTAACACTGTGCATTAAAGGCGTGTACTAGAAGATAGAATAGAGATTCCAAAACACGAATACCTAAGATTTAGATAGTCTAAGAGTGGGCGTCTCACCGGCCAAACCAACAAGTAAAAACAGAAGCCCGTTTAAGACCTTTTGTCCATCCAACAGCCTCATCACCTGCACCTCAAGAATCACCTTCTTTGGAAAAAAAAAAAAAACTCTTTACATCTCTTTTCTCCTCTATCCTGATAACCTCCTTTGAAACATCAGTAAAGAGTAGCTACTTTTGTCCTAGGTTTGTCCAGGGTAATTAACTAAAAAGGCAAGATTGGGGATGGGGGAATCCAAGCCTGCTGGCTGCCCACCTACAGGAAGGCCCCATGGGATGAAGGGGCCTGGGGCATGGCTTCAAAGAAGACAAAAGGTAAGACTTTAATTCTGGGGGAGGACCGTCATCTCCGATTCAAAGAAAAGAAGAGAGAGGTTCAAAAGGTAGCAGATATATGTATACTTCTGGCTGATTCATGTTGAGGTTTGGCAGAAAACAACAAAATTCTGCAAAGCAGCTATCCTTCAATAAAAAAATGAATTAAAAAGAAAGAAAAGAGAAACACCGTAGCACAGAGGTACAAACCGGGCAACAAAAAAGGGCAAAACAGCTAAACGGTTTATAAACCACAGAGAAAAGCACAGCTGGGAGTGACTCAGCAGCCGTGGGGCAGGCAGGAGGGGGCGTCCCAAGGAGGACCCTCGGCCCCCAGCTGACGGAGGGAAAGAGCCGTCAGTACAGCAGAGTGGGCCCAGCGGGCACTGTGGGGGCTGGTGGTTGGACTTTCTGCAGTAGCTAGAGATGCTGCAGAAAAACTCAAGTGCACAGCCTGGACCCCCCACCACCACGTCATGATCAAGGCAGCAGGCGTGTCCCAGATGGAAGGCTCTGCCAGCGCTCAGGGTGGCTCAGACAGGACTAGTGGGGGGTGGGGGGGGCGGGGACAGGGAAGCATGGGGTCTGGAAACACCCCTTTGGAGTCGGCACCGTCTCAGCTGAATCCTGGCTCTGCCTCTTAACGGGACTTGGGGCGGCTCGCCCGGCCGTCTATGCCTCAGTGTCCCTGTCTGCAGAATGGGGTGATGTAACACTATCAACATGGTGGTATTAACATACTACCTTGCAGGATCTCTGTGAAGACAAATTCAGTGCATGAGTGCTCGGATCATGATCTGTCTGAGCGGAAACCAGGGTTTAACGAAAGGTAATTCCCTTGCCTCCAAACAGGAGACGCCAAAGGAAACCAGCCACTCTCCTTCCTCCCCAGAAATCGCAGGCTGGCGGGACAGAAGCTGGGAATGGTGGTGTTCTCAGGGCTGGCCAGTGTCACTGGAAGCTATCTAGTACCAGGCATCATTCTGAAGACGTTCCATGTGTTTCTTTAATCCCTCGCTCCCCAGAACTACGTGACAGCCCACGGCAGGGATGAGGAATCAGAGCCCAAGAGGCAGAGTGGCTGATCTTGCCGGAGGTCAGCAAGGGCTGGAACTTGGACTCCAGGCCTGCTTCCAGGCCTGGGTTCTACACACGCCTCCACAGGCCCTTCAGGTCCTTTGTCCCCTCCCTGGATCTGCGGTTGGTAAGTCTCAGTAGAAGACTGTACACTCCCACCTTCTGTCCAATGCCAAAGCATCCCTAACACTGGTCTCTGGCCCTGCCTGGAGCAGGTTCCACTTTCACGCCCATCATTAAAGCCTCCCCAGTGAGCCCCAAGGGAGGCAGTGATCTCCTGTTCCCAAGATAGCACTTTCCCGGAGAGGCAATTTCTGTTCATCACACGAACCAGGATAAACACTTAGCCACTCTGATGGGATATAAAGGGAGCGATGTCGCTAGTGTCTGATTCAGAACTTCATGATACAAGGACACACTCGTCTCAGCAGGAGAAATGTGGTCCCCACTGCACACCAAAAGCATATTTGGGAGGGAGATGCGGAAATGCTGTTATCATTTTGGGCATTCACATCACGTGAGGTCATCTTTTCATTTAAATTGGTTTTTAAAGTTTGCATCGTGTGGAGAGCAAAGGTAGCGGTTTCAAGTGGTAAAGGATTTATTTATCAGAGACCGGGCAACCAGAACCAAACAGGAAGAGGCATTCTCATTAACAGCAGGATAAAAGACATTCTCGTCTTAGGAGGGGGAGGCCCCATGAATGCAACTGCCACACAGCCTAAGGAGGGACGGAGAAAGTGAAAGTGTTGGTCGCTCAGTCGTGTCCGAGTCTGTGCGACCCCGTGGACTGTAGCCCACCAGGCTCCTCTGCGCATGGGATTTCCTGGGCAAGAACACTGCAGTGGGTTGCCATTCCCTTCTCCGTGGGATCTTCCCCGCCCAGGGATCAAACCTGGGTTTCCTGCAAGTCACCTGCACTGCAGGCTGCTTCCTTATCATCTGAGCCACCAGGAAAGCCCACTTCATTATAAACCAAGTAGAGAAGTCTTTATCTTCAGGTCGGAAGTTGGATGTTGGGATTCCCCTAGCAGTCCCGTGGTTAAGATTTCACCTTCTAATGCAGGGAGACTGCAGGTTCAATCCCTGGTCAGGGAGCTAAGACTCTACATGCTTTGAGGCAAAAAAACAAAAAACAAAACAAAACCCAAAACATAAAACAGAAGCAATATTGTAACACATTCAAAAAAGCCTTTACAATGGACCACATTAAAAAAAAACCTGGATGTGGCCACTTTCCCCGGACCCAGCGGACACGGTCTTATCTTAGTGGAATAAAGTGCAGCCTTGGCTCACGATGCCAGTGCTGCTATCGGGTACCAAGACATCTTCCATTTCCCCAGGCCAGTGAGTGGTCCTTGCTCTGCCCCCAAGTTCTCTATCCACTGTGGGCATCCCCAGGTACTAAACCCTCTGCTAAGGGCACACAGCTCTCTTGGGCCCCAAGTAACCAACCAGGCCACACCTTTATCTGTGACGACATGGGCACAGAACTGTATATGTTTCACTTAACCCGGCTGGGTGGGTGAAAGGGCCGGTCCGGTTTGGTTTGGTGTTGCTGGACAGGTTCCCGCTCTCCATCCTTGACTGTAGCCCCATCCCAAGCACCGAAGCAGCTGTCTGAATGGCAATCCTTCCTTTCTGTTCTCTGGGTCCTCATTCTCCAAGAGCTCCCTCTTCCCACACTTGCTCAGTGGCAGTGGTGGGGCCGGAAAATATTAAAGCAGATTTTGGAGGCAGAGAGTCAGAGTTCAAATCTGGCCTCTCTTCTGGTGGGCTGCGTGACCCAGAAGATAGCTCATTCATCGGGACCTCCGACTCCCCTTCTGCAGGAGGAAGATCGTGGTGTTCTGAGACAAGCATTTGCCCAGGCATGATATGGCCGGCGGTGGGGGAGGGGAGCTATTGGATTGTTATTTCACATTATTGTATGAACGTTCCCAGAGCTTTCCAGCTTCCGCCCTTTCCCCCTCTCTAATCTCTCCTGAACGCTCCTGCCAGATCAGTCTTCCTGAAGCCTGACTGATAATCATCATGTCAAAACACAGGAATGGTTTTTATGGGACTGGTAATGGATGAAGGTGGAAGAGGAGAGTGGAAAAGCTGGCTTAAAATGCAACACTCACAAAGCTACGATCATGGCATCCAGTCCCATCACTTCATGGCAAATAGATGGGGAAACAATGGAAACAGTGACGGACTTTCTTTTCTTGGGCTCCAAAATCACTGCAGATGGTGACTGCAGCCATGAAATTAAAAGATGTTTGCTCCTTGGAAGAAAAGCTATGATAAACCTAGACAGCGTATTAAAAAGCAGGGGCATCATTTTGCTGACAAAGGTCCGTGTAGTCAAAGCTATGGTTTTTCCAGTGGTCGTGTATGGATGTGAGAGTTGGACCATAAAGAAGGCTGAGCGCCGAAGAACTGATGCTTTCAAATTGTGCTAGAAAAGACTGTTGAGAGTCCCTTGGACAGCAAGGAGATCAGACCAGTCCATCCTAAAGGAGATCAACCCTGAATATTCATTGGAAGGACTGATGCTAAAGTTGAAGCTCCAATACTCTGGCCACCCGATGAGAAGAAGTGACTCATTGGAAAAGACCCTGATGCTGGGAAAGATTGAAGGTGGGAGGAGAAGGGGATGACCGAGGATGAGTTGGTTGGATGGCGTCACTGACTCAATGGACACGAGTTTGAGCAAACTCCGGGCGTCAGTGAAGAATAAGGAAGCCTCGTGTGCTACAGTCCATGGGGTTGCAGAGTCGGACAAGGCTAAGTGACTGAACACCAGTGGAGGTAGTTGCAAATGGGAAGCTGAGCAAAGGCATAAGAATGGACCCAGGAGACGTAGTCACCAGGTGGATGCTGAGGAAATCTGTGTCCGTGGAAGCTCCTTGAGAGTCAAGGAGAGTATCTTGTTACTCCTTGCATTCATTTATAATAATTTTTGAGCACCTGGTCTATGCCTGGATTTAATGCAATAAGCAAAACTGACCTTTTCAATTCTCTGCTGTTTATAAAAAACATTTATTGCACTAGTTACCATTAAACTTCAGCGTCAAAGATGCAGAACTCCTAATAATGATGATATTTTACATTTTACAAAGTATAGATTCCCTTGTGGGGATTTACACAGAATCTACATTTTCCCGTTTCTAACCCCATTTTGGCCTCAACGTTTAGGAAATACACATTCCAGCTGGGATTTGCAACATGCCTGTGACATCTTGGCATCTGAAGTTGCTGTTGAGAATATGCAGCAGACGCTGTGCATTTCTGAAGTGGATGCCAGCACAGCTGGTTCTGACCCGAACACAAACAAATCACACAATCTGGCTGGCACCGAGGCATGGTGACAGGTGACAATCCTCGGCAAGGGACAGGCTACAAATGGCCAATTAAGAAGCTGCGCTTTCCTCTGGCATCTGAGTTCAGACACGGGCCATTCATTGATGATGAGCCTCAGTTTGAAGTCTTATGGTTGTCATTAGGTTCTTTTTTTTTTAAGATATTATTTTATCTGCTGTGTGATGGGCTGAAGTGTGGTCCTCCCACCACCCCCAGTTCATATGTTGGGTTGGCCCAGTACCTTGGAATGTGACATCATTGGGAAAAGGATCTTTAGAGGGGTAATCAAGTTAAAGTAATGTCATTTGCATGGGCTCTAATCCAGTTTGACTGGGGTCCTGGTAGAAATGGGAGTTTGGGCACAGAGATAACATACAGAAGTAAAGAGATGCAGGCAAAGATGGCCATCTGCAAGCCAAGGAGAGGTCTTAGACAGATTCTTCTCCATGGCCCGCAGAGGGAAAGAACCCTGACAACTTGATTTTGGACTTCAGGCCTCTAGTACTTCCCAAGTGGTGCTAGTGGTAAAGAACCTGCCTGCCGATACAGGAGACGTACAAGACTGGGGTTCGATCCCTGGGTTGAGAAGATCCCCTGGAGGAGGGCATGGCAACCCACCCCAGTATTCTTGCCTGGAGGATCCCCACGGACAGAGGAGCCTGGTGGGTCGCAGAGAGTCAGACACAACTAAAGGGACTTAGCACACACGCATGCCTCTAGGGCCAGGAGACAATAGATGTCTGATGTCTAAGCCCCCAACCTGCAGTACTTTGGCAGAGCAGCCCTAGGAAGCTGAAACAGCTTGGATTCGGTAAGGATGCTCTTCGCTGAAGCTAAATGTCAAGTTCATAACCCAACCATTTTATTTTCCATTTAGGCAAGTAATCCAGTGAAACCAACAACTGAAATTTGTTCAGTGGAAGGGATTTCTTTGCCTATACAGGTTCAATGTTCAAAATAGCTCCTGCCCAAAAGATAATTTTGTAAGAGCAAAACCATCAGCAGTGTCTCACCTGGATTTGCAAGGCGGCTACTTGTAGGTCCAAGAATCTGGTAAGGATCTGCAGCAAAAATGAAAGACACGGTTTTGAGCAGGTGGGATATAACTGCAAGAATGATGCTGACCTACTGGTGTTTCCAGATTTCAGAGCTGAAAATGCCTCCCACACCAAAGTCCCCCAGCACCACTTCCTGTGTTAGAGAAGATGTCACGTGGATCTGAGACAAGCTTGGAGGTAAAGATCTCAAGCTGGTGGTTGAGCTCAGATTTGGCTTGGGGTTCCTGACATCCAGTCCAGGGCTCTTTCCATCCCAGAACATAAACAGGGCAAATGTCCTCAGTCCCTCACCGGCCCCAGGACAATATTGGCTGCGTTGCTCAGCTCGCTGGCAGAAGCAACCTTCCATTGCATTTCTGGGCTGATGTTGTTGTATGTGGCCTGGAAGGTAAAGTCAAATAGTTCCCAGGAAACAAAGAAGCTGGGTGCATATAGAATGGATTTTCCATATTTATTGCATAGATTTTTGTAAATGGTTTAGCAAAAACGCAATCATTTCCAGTTGAGTAGACTGGGAATTTGGTGCCCATTTTACATATGGAACAGTCCTAAAGAAGACAAAGGAATGTTAATTTCATTTAGAAAGTGACACATCTTAGAAAGATGCTGCTAGGCCCATTTCTTCTTTTATGACCATCAAGAGGTTCCCTGAAACATACCTAGCTGGGGACGCTGGTCTTCAGTTTTGGGCACTGTGGAAGGAGATGGCTGAGCAGCTGAAAATCCAAAAATGAAAGAGACGATTAGCCATAACTTGTGCCTGACTACTAGATTCTGGTGCTGCTGTTCATCATTCTACCAATTATCTCAGTTATGAACACAAGAGTCCTACTCTTATGATAAGAAGCATCTTAGGGTAAGGAAAATGTTTCCTTTTTAACAAAATCAAATGCAAACACAGCAGCAAAACAAAGGCCTTCTAGCTTATTTTAAAATGTTATTTGTACCCCATTTTTTCCAAAACTGAAAAGAAAATCTGAGATGGTTTACAAAACAAATTAAAATGAATTGCCCTCTAAAATAAATAGATAAAGGGAAATTACTAGGAAAGTAAAATAAAGCAAGGAATACTTTAAACATGGCCAAGATTGGGAAATGACCTGGCGTTTAATCCGTACTCAAAGCATCCCATGAAACATGTATTTGTTCATGTGGAAATATATCACATTGTTCACTTTTTTCTGTTAGAGAAATATGTCTAACCACCAAAGAGAATGAATCATTGCATTTAAAGATCAGTTGCACTTTGGGGCCAAAGGGACACACACGTTGTATGTTGAAAAAGTGCAAACTGGCTAAAGAGATGATCATTTACTCCATCACCCACTGCCTGGTGATGGGAGGGTTCAAGGCAGCAGGAACCAACACCGTACCTTTCGACTGGGGGGCGGGGTGGCCGTGGCTGGTCCAGGCGGATCTCCTGGGTGGTTCGTAAGGTAAATCTGTAAAGACAAATAAAATGACTAAAAGATCAATGATGTAGCTTAATAATAGCTATTTTGTATGCTTTTTAAAGTTTGTGTTTATTAGAATAAGTGAGAAAACCCAGTGATCCAAAGAAACATTCAACCTGGGTTTCATGAGATTTATGTTTTATTTACAAAAGATAACTTTGTATCTTTTATTGATCTAACCCATTTTCACCCATTAATCTGAAAACTCCCATGGACAGATTCTCTGCTGGTGGACTCTCCTAAAATTATTTATTGCAATCATAGCTCAAGGCCATATCAAGTTTCTTACAATCTATTTGTTTTGCTTCCAGCTTGAGCTGACTGAAGTCCATTACCCCTTTATTATGTGCATGGCCTGTCTGAAACACAGCCTGCGGTATTGATGAATGAACTGATCCTGCTCAAGGCCTGACCCTAAATCCACCAAATGGCATTCGTGTTCCTTCCTCTTCTTGGAAAAGAGGACTGCCTTCTTTATTTGCCACCTGCCTCTCTCAGCCACCCCTCATTCCCCCTCATCCACTTTTATTAAATCAGTCTTAAGGGACTAGCCCTTCTTCTGTGCAAATGTCTACTTTTTCTCCTGCTCCAAATGAATTTAGGATTTCCCTAAAAGGAATCTCATGAAGTCATCGGTAAGACTGAAATAGTATTGCCTCCACAACATATCAGCAGTGATCATAGAGCTGAAGTATATGCCAATGATTTTTTTTTTTGTATTTATAATGTATTGTCACTTGTCCCATAAACCTTCATCACACTTCGCATATGCAAACTGAATAATTATATTTCAGCACCCTCAGTGCAAGTTCTATTATGATTATGACTCTAAGTTGTTTCAAGTTTCCTTTAAAATATATTCCAGAAATGTTATTATGCATGCTCTTACTGACTGTGCCTAAGTAAAGCTATTGGTACACGTGGTCTCATGACAGAGCCATTTCACGTCTATGTCTTCTTGGATCGGTAGGTTCAATGCCGTGTGTCACTGGGCCAGCTGAAAGCCAAACCCAGGTCCTGCAGCAGGTTTCCTGCTGCCAGACCCCTGGAGATGGCTATACACTCTCACGTGGAGAGGTTTTAAACTTGGTTTAAAATTGGCCATTTGGTGGGTCTGTCTTCAAAAAGCTTGACTTCTGTTGCAAAAGACATGTCTCTTTCCATTTTCCTATCCCAGAGAGACAAGCAACGAAATGAAACGTGAAATCCAACACAGAATTGCCCTAATTTATTTGGTCTGTTTGGCTACAACCATCTCGACTGGTGTGGTCTATGAAATCCTACCCTCCAGAGCTTCGGTTGAGTTTGATCACTTTCTCTGCTGCTGCGTACCACTCCCTCTCCACGGGCACTTTTGTATGTTGGGACTGGAAGCGTTTCCCACCCAGTCCCTCAGAGTCTCATTTTTCTGATGTTGGGATTACACAGGCGAGTTAAATCTGCAGCTGCTATCAATTTACCACTAAATTTCAACTTAGGTCGCTGGGGGCATTTGCACACGGATTCTCATCTAGTTGCCTTTTGGCTAGAAAATGGCTAGCCAGAGTTTCAATTTGAGAACTGGCTCAGAAAGAAACATCTAGGAGGGCAATTCTAAGAGTATGTCAGCCCACTACAGGAGCAGACAGTCACACTGAGGACAGGGTTTTTATCTACAGAGTGAAAAAGCAAGACAATCCAGAAATATGCTCCAGGTCCTCGTTTCTCCACGGACCAGCAATACTGGTAACATCTGGGAGCTTGTTATAAATGCAGAATCTCACTCTAGGTCTACTGAATTAGAATCTGCATTTTACCAGATTCGTGTTGAAAAAAAAAAAATAGAGCTACCATATGACCCTGCAATCCCACTCCTGGGGATATGTTGGGAGAGAACCATAATTAGAAAAGACGCGTGCATCCCTGTTCATAGCAGCACTACTCACAATAGCCAAGACACAGGAGCAGCCTGAATGCCCACTGACTACCAACGGATAAAGAAGATGCGGGACACATGCAATGGAATATTGGTGTCGTTTAGCTGCTGAGTCGTGTCTGACTCTTTTGCGACCCTGTGGACCACAGCCTGCCAGGCTCCTCTGTCCATGGGATTTCCCAGGCAAGAATACTGGAATGGGTTTCCATTTTTCTTCTCCAGGGGAATCTTTCTGACCCAGGCATCAAACCTGTGTCTCCTGCACTAGCAGGTGGGTTCTGTACCACTGAACCACCAGGGAAACCACACAATGGAATATTACTCAGCCATTAAAAAAGAATTAAATTATGCCATTTGCAGTAACATAGATGGGCCTAGAGATGATCACTCTATTGAAGTAAGCCAGACAGAGAATCCCAGTGACAGGGGAGCCGGGTGGGCTGCCGTCTACGGGGTCGCACAGAGTCGGACACGGCTGAAGTGACTTAGCAGCAGAGAGAGAAAGACACATATATGATATCACTTACATGTGGAATCTTAAAAAAAAATAATACAAAGGAGCTTATATACAAAGTAGAAATAGACCCACAGACATAGAAAACAAGCTTATGGTTTCCTAAGGTGGGGGAGGGATAAATCAGATTAACATATACACACTACTAAAAATAAAACAGAATCAACAAGGACCTTCTGTATAGCACAGGGAACTATACTCAATATTTCGTAAAAACCTATAGGAGAAAAGAATCAGAAAAAGAATGTATGTGCAGGTATATATATGTATACGCACACACACACACACACACACATATATATAACTGAATTGCTTTTCTGTACACCAGAAAATATGACATTGTAAATCAGCTATATTTCCATTTCAAAACAAGATCTCACTTGACTTGGCTGTACACTGAAGTTTGAGAAAGCTTGTTCTAGACAATTTCCATTTTTCTTTTCTACAAATCTGTGTTCCTACAGATAATTATTTCAGAAACGCTGATTCTGTGAATGCCAACAAATGAGAGGACAGGGTTCTAGATGGAATGCTTTTGCCTGAAATATGAGAACACGAATGGAATTCATAGCCAGTGTCAGTCGGTGAGTCTGCTACTACCTTAAACATAAGAAGACTGCCCGTGAAAGGTACCTGGAAGAAATTAAGCACCAAGCTACTAATAGAAAAATATTTTGAATCTCTTTCTTCATGACATCCTTCGTAGAGAGCACAACCGTGTCCCATCCTGCCTCGAAAATCAGTCAGGACCTAAACAATGCCAGGCCTGATTCTTAGCCAAGAACTTGAGATGTTTACATGAACGATGATTAATGTGCTCATGAGCATACTGCCATGGAAGATAAGTGGAGTTTTGTTTTTGTTCATGAAATTCTGCCCCAGGGCTGTCTTATCAGCTACTGATCATGTGCCGTGGGGACCCCGAGCCCCCTCCTGTGGGATGTGACATTGGGAAATGTTGACCCAAGCCTCGCTGAGAGACGACCATTTCAGTGACCTTGCCAGCAGCTACACCACCTCGAAGCAGAGCCAGTTTTGAGCAGTTCTGCTCCTTGGCTGCTTGAAAAATTATGACACCGTGTACATTTGCTATTGGCCCCTGATGGATGAGTAGATCATAAGACTTTGAGTAAGAACACAGTTTACATGTCACTTCTTGGTGGTCATTTCAACCCACCCTTCATTTCTCTTCCATTTTGATCTTCAAGGCCATTAACTCATAAACTTGGCAGAAGGTCTGTGCCAGGGAAGGCTGCTTTCAGGCATGGGTTCTGCTTTTTTAATTTCTTTAACAGACTGTTTCAAAACTGAGTTTTATAAGAACCATTCCAGAGGCAGCTGAAGGTACCAAAGAAGTACGCTCTCTGCCATGATTTAGACCAAAACCCATGAAACTACAAAGAAGGATTGTGACTGGTGCTGGCTCCCTCACCCCAGCACCTCTGCTTATGTCCTGGGAGTTAAGATAACTGTGGTGCTGGAGCAGACTCTTGAGAGTCCCTTGGACTGCAAGGAGATCCAACCAGTCAAGGCTAAAGGAAATCGACCCTGAACACTCACTGCAAGGACTGACGATGAAAGTGAAGCTGAAGCCCCAACACTTTAGCCACCTGATGTGAAGAACTGACTCATTGGAAAAGACCCTTTTGCTGGGAAAGACTGAAGGCAAGAGGAGAAGTGGTCAGCAGAGGACAGGATGGTTGGATGGCATCACCAACTCAATGCACATGTATTTGAGCAAACTCCAGGAGATAGTGGAGGACGGAGGAGCCTGGCGTGCAGCAGTCCATGGGGTTTTGAAGAGTTGGACATGACTTAGCGACTAAACAGCAACAAGATCCATTCCTGACTCTGAACGAGACTCCTCCCCCGCACTGCTCCCTTCTCCAGACATCAGTGATGTAAGACAGCGTCCTTGCTGTCCTTCTTGCAAGATCAGGTTCACCAAGTTTTATACTCTCTTTTCATCAGGCTCACCAAACAGACCTGCTGGCCCTCTTCAAGTCCACCCGCCACTTTAAAGGACCAGAACTTGGATCGTGAGAGGGCTTACCCTCCCTCTGCAGGACCCATGCCACATGTACAAAGCAACTCTGGAGGTCCCTGGCTGTGCTGGATGTGAAAGGATGGATTCTGCCAGCTCTCAATGAGCTTGGATGCTAACAGCAAAGACACAAAGACCAACAGCTACGGCCCAAAACCAATCTCTAAACACCTACTTAATGCACGGAATTTTTAGAGTCAAGCCTAACTACCGTGATTAAATTACCCTCTCCCGTTCTCCTCCAGCTCTCCCTACAGTCTTCTAAACTCCTCTGTCAAACGCATGGGGATCTGGTGGGCGGGGGGTGGGGGGCATTTCACCTTCCCTTCTCAGCCAGGTTTGCGGGTTCTGTGGTTATAGCAGAGTCAGGGCAAAGGCCAGAATGCATTTTCAGCCACGTGCTGTGATGGAGGCTTAACTGAGGAGACGGGGCACTAGCTATGCGGTCTTGCTGTGACTGGAGAGGCTGACTGGCTCTGCGCTGCACACCCTGAAGGAGCAATCACTGCTGATCCCACAGAGCTCTTGAGGAGCACCCGCTGGAAAGCCAAAGTCAAGGCTGCACTTGCAGACCCAAGACTCTAGCCTCCTTCAACAACATCCTAGATGTGGGTCATGGTGCATGGGTTGCCACGGTGATGGAGGAGGAGCGCGTGGGGTCACAGATCGTCCTGGGTTCACACCAGCGCTTTCACACTACGCCGCTCCCAAGACATCAGGCAGGGCTTACATCACAAGGTCAAACACCAGCCTGCAAGTTTCCCCGAGTCAGACTTGCCTCTGTGCCCCTTGACGCCTCAAGGGGCCATCGTCCCCCAAAGGCACGAATGCAGCAAAAAAAAAGAGGAGGGTGCCTCTGGGGAGGATGGGAAAAGGACTTCTGGTAATAATAACTGACTCCCAGAGAAACACATGTGATACCACAAAATGCGATCATAAAAAAAGAATGTAAACGGATCTGCCCACGTGCTAGCATTTTCTAAGAGGAGTGGACAGACTCATCTAAATGCTGGTTCAACAAAGGGATCATGAAAGCAGGGTGCATTCCGAGTCAGCACAGTTTGGGAAAAATAAATAGGAACGACCACGGGAAGGCAGGGGGCTGCGGCATGAACAAGGAGTATGTTGTCCATGGTGCCCTTTCTTGTAAGGTCCCCGGGCGGTCCCGGCTGACTGTGGGGGAAACAGAAAGGATGCAGCCTCTGGACAGGGCAGGCCGCAAGGGAACTCCGGAACACAGGCTCCACGGACCATGGCAAGAAGAAAGGGAGGAGGGGGCAGGCAGTCCAGGGCTGGGTGCTAGAGAGGGAAGGAAATGAAGGAGCTGGAGGGAGCACCCGGACGTTGGACTCGGCGGGACAGATGGGTGGGAGGAAGGAGTCCTCTGTCTCCATGGGTGTGAGATCAGAGACGTGAACAGACACTGCAGACCAAGGGTGCAGGGGAACGGGAACTTGGGCCTTTGTACCCAAGGACCTCTCCCCAGAAACAGTCAGCAACCACCTCTTCTGAAAGAAACCCAGTGACCACAGGCACACGGTCAGATTCCCAGGGACCCCCCCTCTCCCAAAGACCCCTGCACCACCCATCTGTCCCTCCCCGCCCCCTCCCAAGCCATCGCAAACTTCTCCAACTGCACCACTACAAGGCCGTCCCTGCAAGGCTGATCACGGGCCCACCCCAAGAGTACAAACAAGTCGACTCTCCCCAAGTCCAAATCTCTCAGTCTGGCTGACAGCAAATAGCTCTCTGGCGTGTTTGCTCTGATTTAAATTCTTCGTAGCTATCTCAGACACCTTTCAGAATCACAGTGGCAATCCTCAAAACAGGTATTTCGGGGAAAACTGAATCTCTTCCAAGTCACGCTTGGATGACAGACGGAAGGAAAGTGCGTGATCAGGGTTTTGCCAGGTGAACGAGCGCTGGCCACCCTTGTCTCCCTGGGGTGTCCCCGCCGGGGTCCTCCCAGCCACTCTCCTCTCTGACACCTGGACGCTCCAGAGGGTGCTGATGAATCTACAGGCAGGGCAGCAGTGGAGGCTCAGACACGGAGAAGAGACATGTGCACACGGACAGGGGAAGCAGAGGGTGGGAAGGACTGAGACAGCAGCGCTGAAACAGACGCATCACCACCTGCAACCCAGACAGCCAGTGGGGATTTGCTCATGATGCAGGGAGTCAGAACCCGGGGCTCTGTGACAACCTAGGGGGTAGGATGGGCTGGGAGGTCGGAGGGAGCTTCAGGAGGGAGGGGACACATGTATACCCATGGCTGATTCATGCTGACGCATGGCAGAAACCAACACATTAGTGCAAAGCAATTATCCTTTTCAATTAAAAACAAATTTAAAAAGAGGATATAAAAATATGAATAAAACTTTATAATATTAAGAAAAGGACCTCTTCCAAATCCACACATCCTCAAACAGGGTAAAAAGAAGCTCCAGGACCCACTGTTTTTTTCTTTTTGAGTCAAATAGCACATGGGGTCTTAGCTCCCCAGTCAGGGATCAGACCTTTGCCCCCTGCACTGGAAGCGCAGAGTCTGACCACCAGACCCCCAGGGAAGTCAAAAGACCTACTGTTCTGTCTGTCAAGCAACATGTAGTCCTGACCATCACACTAAACCAACTCACATGGCCCCACGACCCCAGCACCAGCTCACAATTCCCAGCTTTTGAGACTCAGACACATCCACGAAATCTCTTCAGACAAACCAACGAGCAACCCCTGGCCAAAGGTTTACAGGCAGCTTCTGCTTCTGTGAGTAAAACACTTACAAAATCAGTATGATTTTCCTATACGTCCCGCATCCCCCTAAAGGTGCATTTACTGGCAGTAAGCTCAGGCACGACTAGACCTAGCATGACACGTGCGCGTTGATGTTCCTTTTCCAGTACAGGTGGTGGGTTCCTTTGGAGCCAGTCTAGATCACTGCAGACCCTGAGTCTTGTCCACGATTACGTGGCCTGCGTCAGAGATAACTAAGCACATTGGCTGAACTTTTCCACTGTGCTTTTCAGGAGGGACAGGAGAGAAAACTTTACGAGGTCAGAGGACAGAAAATCGCCGGCTCCATCGCAGTACCAGAGCGGTCCTCACCCGGAGAAGCATCTTCCCCTGTGCTAGTCAGCTCTCTGGTCCCCCATCTTTTTTGATGGGGAGAAACAGCAACCACAAGCTTGGTGCATGGGACCAGCTCACACGGGGACTTGGGCAGCCTGGACAGATGACAGAAGCTGAAGAGCGACAGCTTGGGTCTGGGAAGGAAGATGGGAGTTCCAGATCCACGTGTGGACAGGCAGAAGCCATCCCACAGCCCTGAGTCACGATTCCTCAGCTACGAGGCTTGCTCACGGCATCCAGCTCGCGGGGTTGTGCATACCAGTGAGGGCTTAGATGTGGGAACCACGCTTGCCCAAGGCCACCCGCTGCACTTCTCCACCTGGCAACACTCCATCCTCCTCCGGTACAGGGCCCTTCCACTGCAGTGCACATGGCCCATCCCTTTCCTGGAGGGAGGAATTCAGGGCGGAATCCCTCTCCCTTCCTGCTCCCACAGCCGCTATTGTCAGAGGTGGTGCTTCTACTGCAAGATCCGTGCTTTAGGTTAAACACCCATTTCTGTCCCTCCGGCTCCAGGCACCTCACTCTTAAACGGTTAAATATGATGCATGTGAGTCTGTTCTGGCTCTAGGTGACTTTACTGAAACATCTAGGGCTTTAGCCTGTATGCCGTGGGCTCATTCTCCACTGCACGCCGTGCCTGGCACTCAGGAGGGTGGGTGGCCACCTAGGGAAAGGCCAGGTCAGTTTTCTGAAGGCAGGGAGCTCTCTGAAGTCTGGCTGATCTTTAGATCCCCAGCATCTAATATCGCGCTTCGCACAAATAGGCCCTTGATAACTACTGATATATATTTTTTCATGAATGACACATAAATTAGTAAGCTAATTAAGTCATCAGGAAACACACAAAGATTCAGGTGTAAATATGATCAATTACACGCTTCTGCTCTGAAAGGCTGGCTCTCATGACAGCTGGGAACTGGCCACTTGTGTTAGGGGGACACCACTGGTTCTGAGCCACGTGATTAGGATGGATGGATCATACTACGTCCTTCCGTAAACTTGAAATCGGACAGGTGTAGGGAATGACTTCTCGGCCCGTCTGTGTCTGAAAGCAGCTGGTGAACGGGCTGACCTGCTTTTCAGCCGAGGTTCAGTGAGGAACTGTCCCTGTGATCTCTGAGTGGAAAGGTCTGACTGATGCTAGGCTCCAGATCCACAGAGGCAGAGGCAGACTGTTTAGGGCTTCCCATCCAAGATCAGCTGTGTCACGTGACCTAAGTCACGCATCTCACGGGACATCCTGGGATGTCTCTCAAAAAAAAAAAAAACAAAAACAAAAGCAGATGGATGACACAGGGGTGTTTTCGTACCTGGCCTAGTTGTAATTCTTTGCGTAGCTTCGGGATATACTGAAGTATTTGGGAAAATAAAAGCTGCACCCCCTGCAGACAAAAGGAAAGACAGAACACGTGAAGGTCTTGCTGCTGTGGCTGTCCATCTCGGCAACAGTGCCTAGCCTACTTTCCCCCTGAGAGCCAAGGGAGGCGGCCTCCTGGAGCCAAGCCTGACCTAGGGAGCAGGGACAAGGAGGTGGGTCAGAAGCCGATGCTGAAGCTGGAAGGGATGCTCCACTTGGCACACAGGGTCTTGGGTTTAGATTATTCAGCTGCCTCCTGAAACCCCTTCCTGCGTTTCTCCATCCTCCCACAAGCTTGCTTTATTAGAACAATTCTATGCTGGGTGTTTTCATTTTCAAATTGTACAAAAATCCATAAAACATTTTTACAGAGCCCTTGGAAAGTGATACCAAAGAATTATAACTATTTTGCCAAAGAATATATGGATCTAATTAAAAATGAATTCACATCTCTGTTCAGATGCCTGTCTTCCCTTTCTCTCTCTCAATCAATGCTCCACTTGTGAACGGACAAAATTTCCTTTTTCCAGCTCAGTCCATTTGGAATGTGCTACCCTGCTTTTTGATTGCTTCTATGTTTAGCAAGGACAAAAAATAATGAAATCAGAGCTTCCTTGACACTTTCATTCCCTGCTAAAAAAGAATTCTTAAATGACTATGAAGTTATCTGAAAGTGAGTGTATTTTCAAAGCATTTCCTAAGGGAGGGGAATTACTTTGTCTAAGGTGCTTGCTATTTCTGGCCATGAAGTTCTTAAAAAGTTGATTGTGTAACCTACATCAGAAAAGTGTACGATCAGTTCAAAGCAATTTTTTTAGCTTCAGATTAAAAACATAATGTTCTGAACACTGAGGGCCAGCTCAAGAGATCAACTAGCAATCTCTGCTATACTCAAGCTTGCACTCACTCATATTACATGTTTAAAAATAACATGGCAAACATTTGGGAAACGGCTGCATTTCTCCGTGCTGGTTGACTGTGAATTGGCTGGCTCGCTTATGGGGGGTTACTTGGTCCTTCCAACACTCGATGGTTTTCTCCCTAGCCTGCGGGTGGCAGAGGGTCCCGGCAAAATGATACAGTGGGGTTAGCAGCCTGTGGTCAGGCTTACACAGTGTCTCCATCACAATGGAGAAAAGGGATGCCATCAGGACCACATTCATCCACAGAATGCCCAGACTCTACTCTCAGCCTTTCCTGGGAGGGGAGGGAGAGGGGTTAGCCAGGAAGAAGCATCAGTTAAACTCTATCAGGCTCAGGCCAAAAAACATAGATAAATAAATATTAATAAGATATAGAATCAATAGTTAAGACATGGAATAGCAGGTATTTGGTTACTCACTAACTTCAAATCTTCCAAAATCATAACATAGCCTCCCTTGCAACAAAAGCTCCCCATAGGTAACCAACATTCCCTCCTATTGCCTTTTGCAAACGTACAAGATCTGTGCAAGATGATACAAGTCAAGTCAAATGGCCTAAAACTTCACCCAAAAGGGAAAAGTATAATCCCTGCTGGTCTTAGTAAATACTCCTTTAAGAATTAAAAAAAAATCTTCTTTTTAACTGTTGAGTTCTCAGCCTTTAATTTTCAAGGAGATAAAGGAGGACGCAAAGGGCTCCTTTATACAGGACATGCTTTTAGTTTCTATAGTCAGCACAGGTCATCTTGGAGCACTCAGAGCAGCAGACAGTAATGCAGCAAAGTGAGCTAAGGCTATGGCTAGAAGCTAATCCTGCACGTCTCCTGGTTGAAAGAAATCCTCTGACTGGCAAGGAAAGCAGGGGTGTACTCAGAGACCAAAGAGGCTGCGGTAGCGCCAACACAGAGCCCAGATTTACCAAGGACCCCTCCACCATCCACCTCTGCCTTCTGCCTTCCTGATGCACTGGCTGTCCCATGTTCCACCTGGAAAGCATGTGACCTGTAAACAAAAGCCTACGCTTATCCTGGGGGCAAGGGGCGGGGCCAGCATTACCTGTGTTTCTAGCATGCATTAACCGTGGAGAGTTTTGTAAGGCTTTATCAACATCATCTGAAGTCAAATGTGGAAGAGGTGCTACAAAACAAAACAAAAAGGCAACATCCAAATGAAAAAGAGAGAGAGAATTACCTTCCTTGAAAAACAAAAAAAAGAAGAAAGAAAATATCTGCCCCTCCCCACTGCCCCCAACACTCCCCACCCTAAATATCATGGGCTGCTTGGAAATCTCTTCATGGCTCTGCTACCAGTTAGCATGTTAAAACCTAGATGGGGGCCTATATTGAATTCAGGGATGCCAGGCAAAGCATTTACACCAAAGAGTTCACACCACCCACTGTTGCACTATCTTGACTAGCTCCTTCTGATCATACTTGACCTTTCAGAAATACTAAAGCATGCAGCAAATTCTGTAGATTTATGCCTCTCATTACCAAGATGCCATTCCCATTCTGACAGGCTAAGCCACATCTCAAGATACCAGGCGAAAACGCTCCTCATTTTGTGTTCCAGTGGGATATGCAAGGGGGTTTGGTTTGGCTTTCGGGAAGATAAATGCCATACTTCCCATCAAGTAGGAGCCATTCCGTAATGCTTCTCCTTCCGTGTGGACATCGTGGAGATGAAATAACGTGTGACCAGGTAAAGCTCTGTTTCCCTCTGATATGTGATCATCTCGGTCAGGGGAACCCTGGAGGAGCAACTGAACACTAGAGGTGACTTTGCTGCTTCTTGTAAAAGAGCCACTTTTCACTCCGCCTCTGGCTAAGTCATCACCTTCTGAGCCTTCTCTCAGATCCTAATGGGAATCGGGTGAGGGCAGTAACAGGGCTGAGCCCTCTGCATCTGAGGTTAAGAAGGACCTCAGACAGTGCTCTTCGTGGGAGAGGGGACCACCTTACTCTCTCTGAGGTAGTGCAGGTGCGACAGAAGGATGTCAGCGTTGTAGCTCGGGGTGAGCCTCTGGAAGTCATCTTTGGTCATCTTGCACAGCTCCTTCCCGTCGATATTCTGGAATAATAAGATGTCAACGTCTGGAAGCCCATATTCTTTGACTGCCCACTCCAGCCACTGCCGGACATGGTCTGTACTCCACAGTGTGGGATCTGAAAGGGGACGGAAGAATATTTAATAAACGCCTGAAGACAAACTCCTGGGACAGAGACATATCCCACGTGGGCTCTCCCACCAGCCTCAGCTTTCCAGAGCATCACCTGCCACTCTTCCAGAATTTTCAAGCCAGGCTCAGGGACCAGTCCAAGAACGTCCAAGGAAGAGCAACTGACTTATACTTGGAGACTACTGTCTTTAAAGTAAGTTCTTTTGCTTTTGTTTAAGCAAAGAAGGGTATTTATTGATTCACATAACTGAGAAGTCCAGGGGATATACTAGCATCAGGCACAATTTGGTCCAGAAGCACAAACACTGTCAAGAGGACTCAAGTCTCTCCAGGGTTTGCCTCTCTTTCCTCCGTACTGGCTTCATTCTCTGACTGGTTCCTTTGGTATGTTGGGCCCTGCTGGTTTGAGTTTTCCATCCTACAGAGCTACACAACTTCCGTAAAGAGGTTCTGAGCCTCTTCTCCACAGTTCACTAAAATGCTTAGGGTTGAGAATCACTGGACCCACTTGAATCACAAGGCCATTCCTGAACCAATCACTGTGGTCAGGAGGTGGGCTGTGCCGATACATCGGGTCTGGATTACACATCCACCCAGGAAACCGGAGGTTAAGCCAGACTGAGCCACATGAACGGACAACAGAGAGAGGAGGCTCCAGGAAACATCAAGGAGTTGCTACAAAGGGATGGAATGGATGCTGGTCAATCAAAAACAACACTGATGTCAATGCTAAGACCAGACACTGAAAAAGTTTAAAGGGAATTATCCTGAAAGTTTAGGATTCATCACACCACTTGCTTCTTTGTTGCTCAACTAACCTGACATTTCCTGGAGGGATATGGTTTTCTTCTTAGTCGTTTCTTTTTATTTTACTTATTCATTTATTCATCTGAATAAAGAATATCTGAATCACTTTGCTCTATACTGAAACTAACCTAACACTGAAAATCAACCAAACTTCAGTTAAAAAAAAAAAAAAGGGAGGGACTTCCCTGGCAGTCAAGTGGTTAAGACCCTCCGCTTCTAGTGCAGGGGACCTGGGTTTGATACCTGAGCGGGCAACTAAGATCTCACATGCTGCACGGCACAGCCACAAAGTAAATAAAATTTAAGAAACAATGAGAAAAAAATGAATAAGAAACAATGAAAAATTTCCTTCAAAAAATACTGGTATCTTTATATGAAAAAAAAGAGCAACACATATCAGGAAGATGCTAATTACATACTAATAAAAAAAAAATCCCATACAATATTTGTATGAAATACTGGAAAATATTGACCACAGAACTGGAAGCGACATGTAGGTCAGCCTGAGCCCTAGTACCTCCCAGGAGCGAGTGTTTCTAGGCGAGAGGCATCAGTTACACACTTCCTGCAGAGAAGCTGGTCTGGCAACTCACTCACACCTGCAGGAGGCAAGCTGGCTGGGGGCGTTCGCATTCCACAACCGTGGCACAAACACCCGCAGGAGGCAGGCGGCGGCGTCACGCTCGGCCGCCAAGTACGGAAGGCGACCCCCATAGGACCAGGAGGCAGGGCCCTGGGGAGAAGGGGCAGGGGACCCCCTCAACGGAAACACGAGCTGAGACCACCCCGCAAACAGCCTGGGTGGAGGGTACCCAGGACGCCTGGCTGGCAGATGGGGCTCCTCCCTGAGGCCCCTGAGCACCAGGAGACATCGGGACCAAGAGCAAGGGGCCAGAGTTCTTCTATCCCCCGGGACTCTCAAGGCAGTGACCCCCGGAGATCGCTTCTGTCCTCTGTGTCTGTTTCCCATGTGGAATGAAAACCTGGGTCGGGGGGGGTCTCTGGACAGGCTGCGAGAGGGCAGGCATGCCACAAGGCTCAGATCATCACAAGTGGAAACATCTGCTGTGGGAATAGACCACCCTTCTATCGCTTTCGAGCTTAATGGTTCTGGAATCCCGTTTGCTCTTACTAACACTTTAGGCGGCTCGAGCAAGGGCATCCGATGTGCTGTTGGAATACAGTCTGTATTCCAGAAAGAACAGAGTAATGGCGAGACACAGCCAGACAGCCACGTGCTGCCAGAATTCTCCTTCCTACCTTCCGCCTTCCCTCCTTCCCTTTTCTTTCTCACTCTGCTTCTATCTCCCCCTCCCTCCCTTCTTTTGTTTCTTCCCTACGGTTTCACATCTTTCTTAGTAGAAAGGAATCATTTTGACTCCAACAGAATTCATCCCCAGCCCACTGCCCTCCCGGATACCCAGGAGGAACCAGTATCCTGAAATGTTACATGCATCACCCCTGTATATATCTGAATACTCTTGCTGTATCCACTATACATACTGTTGTATGCCTTTCAAGTTAATATAAACGGCACCTAATTTGCTTTTGGCGTTCAGTACTGTATTTTCAGGATGTCCATCCATGGAGGTACAGTTCATCATTTAAGCAGCTCTTGCGCACCCCTTCCCCATGAATATACCCAATTTACTTATCAGTGAAGACCCCTGCTTCCCCCTCCCCGCCCACATGTGAAGGAATCTGCATTGGTCCATAGCCTGGGCTCCACATGAGAGTCATGGGGAGATTGAAGAAAACAAAAAACTACAGATGCCTGCTCTCACTCATAGAGATGCTGAATGAAATCTGCTGGAGGGTAACCTGGGTATCAGTTGTTAAAAGCTGTCCAGGTAATTCTAATGTGGTTCAGACCATCTACTACCAGGTTTCACTCCTTTAAGAGTGTGATCATGGGACCTGGAAGCCTCTGCATTCCATGGGACCTAACTAGAAATGCAGAATCCCCAGGTGCCATGCAGGCCTCCTGAGTCTGAGTCTGTATTTTCATAGGATTCTCAGCTGACCCATGTCCACACGAAGCCGGTGGAAGTGCTGGCCTAGGTGAGTACCTCCATGCAGAATCAGTGGTCACAGGACCCATGCTTAACTAAGGTCTCTGGTTCTGCTAGAAAGCATAGAATATCTACAAAAGCTCAAATGGCAGCGTTGACAGAAAGGTACGCCTTTGCCTTTGTAATCCAACCACATGGAAACATTTTGTTAGCCTGTGAAAACTGAATGTTAGCTCCATCCAAGTCATTGAAGTTTGGATGGCTTTCTGCCATGAGGTCAGAACTCTGCTTTCATGGAGAAAACGTTCGAAACTTCAGACTGTTTCCATAGATAGTTTTTTTTCCCCCCTTTTCTCATGCTATGTCATGACTCCTCATCATATAGGAACAAATCATATATTGGCTTCAGGATGCCCTGAATTCAAGTCCTGTTTCCTTAGTTCTGTGCGGAGGTCAATGAAATAGCCTTCTTGGAAAGAAGGCCTTCCCTTCCACAGGGTCCCCAAGTCATTTCCTGTAAATTTCACCACTAGGTATAAACAACATGGAAGGACTGTTTTGGTGTAACTACTTCCCAGAAATCAGTTCATTCTGGGAAGGCATTTTTTCTCTTAATGGTGGAAACATATTCTAAAAATGATAGATGAATATCTTCTGGAAAGTTGCTGGGTTCATGCTAACATGGCCAAGTGACACCTTAGGAAGACAGCCACAAGGAGGCCAGTCTCTCTCCAGCATCCCTTGGTGTGCCTAATTAATTGGTTTCCCTTGCTAAGCTCAAGGTTGCGATGGATCTTTCAATTTTCCTTTAAGGAACTCTCGTGCAAGAGCCCAGAGGCCAATTTCTCTTTGCTCTGCACTATGAGCACTAAATTCTTGTTTCGGATTGGTCAAATGGTCCTGCTGGCATGAGCGTAAATTCCTACGACCTTCCCAATCGGCAATTCTGCAGTACTTGTCAGATGCCTTTGAAAAACTGTGTGTATAGTCTCTGAACTAAAAATTCCACTTCTAGAAATTTATCCTTAGGAAATCATGGAGGAAGTGCGCAATGATTTATTTTCAAGGATGTTCTTTGTAGTGTTGTTTATAATAGCCAAACATTGGAAACACCCTAAATGTCCCACAAAACAAGAGAACTAGTTAAGTTGCTGTACATTTAGGAACATCCTTGTGATATTTAGAGACTAAAGTTACACTGCTGAATGTAGTTACTGATATGAAAAATGTTCAAAATAGATTAAAAGTTTTGAAAACATTATGGCAGTATAATTATATTCTTCAAAGAAATACAAATATACCCATGGAAAGAATTTTCAAGAGATATGCATTGAAACGGCAATTATTGTGTCTGAGCAAAAGGCAATGGAGATTTAAAATTTTTTCCTTTTCACTAAACTGTATCTTCTCTTTTTTTTCTACAATGAACATGTGATACTTAGATTAAACAGTTATTTATAAATATATATATATAATATATATTCTCTGTGTTTCAAAATCAAAACAAGGTCCTACAAAGGACCGCACATGTACATTTGCTAAAATGTTTTTATTACATTTTCATAAAATTTTCATATTACTTTTTTTATCCAGTTCATTCACGGGAGTTGTTTCATTGGAAAAGAATAAACTATACCAAGTCAGGTTACTCCTGTATCCTTTTGGAATTTGATCTCCACACCTCTGCCTTATACATTTAGAAGCTAAGAGTATTAAAAACAAAATATGAAAATATGACCGCTTGATAGAGTAAATGAGGACGCGCCTTTCCAACCTGTGGGGCGCCATTATTCTAGACCGCCTCTATAGGTGTTCTACAGAGAACAGTTTGCAAGGATCAAGTCCGAACTCTTCAGTCTGAAGCACATGGTCCCAGGTCTCCGGGCCCCATGGTTTTCCTAAGCATCATTCCCAGCTTTTCCTCCACCCCAGACCCTCCATCCCCACACACCCAGCTGTCATCTCCCAAACCCACACCCTGTCTGTGCCCACACACCACCCGCTGGTTGAAGACTCAGCTTTCCTGCATCCTCACTTACACTCACCACCTCCTTTGGGTATCTGCCCTCCACATTCTTGAGGTTTAGGAGCTGATAATCACTCCCCAGGTAGGAAAGTGATGACTAGACAGGGGGCTCTGTCCCTGCCCCAGTGGCAGGGCCCACCC